GGCATAATTCAATGAGGGGAACACTCCCTTCATAGCCCACCAGGTCTCCGTAATGCACGTCAGGTCCACTCTCCCCTCTTGTATAAGGTTGTAAATGAGGGGAGCCTTATGTACCACGGATCTGGCGTTAAGAGATGCCAGCCGGAGACCCGGGTCCTGTAATCCCGAGCACCCAGGGGTGCGAGAGGGGCAATGAGGGTCGGAGCACACAATCGCTCTTAAACAGCAAACCTGCGTCCCCGGACATAATTTGGCCCTACGCCCCCACCGTATCTGCCCCTCCCACATACAGTAGAGATGGCAAATCCCCCAATGGAATGGTTTAATGTCTCCCCCGGAATCCCAACCCTTTCCATCACTCCTGACCCGCGCCCATTAATTAGCTCTGGCCTGTGTCCTGGCAGACTCCCCCCTAAGCCTGTCTGAGCCATCCGAATCAAGCCCCCCTCCACTCCTTAAAAGTTGATTTAAAAACCCCTGTAAAAAACCCCTAACAAGCCTCTTCTTCGCATGCCACCTCTCAGGATCCCATTAAGGAAGTGTCTTGATAAGCAAGAAGGCCATCTCCAGGAAAGGGGGACTTCCCGAAGGGAATAAAGTTCTGTCGCAGTACATATAAAGTACATATGTACATATAAAGCCTATCATGCTACCTATTCCCTTCCCCTTCTGTAGCCAAAGTGCTAATGGAAATGGCAAAGGCTGAGATGGAAGCTGATCAGTGACAAGTAGGAAGGACTGTTTATGTTCCTTTCAGCCCATCCTTAGTATAAAGTACTTCTAGTCATAGCCACAAGAGTTGATGACTTTAATTCCAAAGTTTTGGCTTCAGGAGCTGTCATTTGACAGTATCAAAATGAGAGGAGAAATACTATAATAACAGCACTTTCAGCGCCCTTATTCATAGGCTGAGGATGATATAATGGCAAATTGTGAGTCTGGGGAAGAGATAAAGGCAAAGTTGTGGAGCCAGGCAGGAAGATTGGAGTTGTTGTGTTATTCTGGTTAAAATATAAGTGGGGTAAATGATATATTCAACTAATCTCAACCTCTAGTTCCATTATAGATAATGGAATTTTAACATTGTGTGTTTGGTGAATGTGACCATCACTACCAATCTCAGCCTGGCTGCAAGAACTCCTGAGGATTCTGGCTAAGTATCCTAGCTGCAAACCTTCCACTGATTTCCAATGACATCTCACTTAAACTTAGTGTAAAGATTGTTTATGATTAAAATAAATCTGAGAGAAAATTTACCAGAAGATTTCCTCTCAAGTTTATTCCAAGCAAAAATAATCATTGCATCAGGTTTACATAGCTTTCCTTTTAGTATATGAAGCGTGGATGTTTGCAACCATGGAACTTAGAAGAGGAATCACCCAACATCATGGAAACCACATTTGGCAGTTGATGTATCATGTGAATATGCCTAGTTAGTTAGGTTCCAACAGTATACAGTATTTCATACAGTAGAAAACATAATGGATCATACAGTAATGATGGAAATGCTAGGCCAACAAGTGAAGATTGAAATGCAGGTAGTCCTTGATTTACAATAGTTGATTTAGTGACCATTCAAAGTTACAACGGCACTGAAAAAAGCAAATTATGATCATTTTTCATACTTACCTTGTTTCCCTGAAAATAAGACCTCCCCAGATAATAAGCCCAAACGGGCTTTTGAGTGCATGCGCTAAAAAAAGCCCTCTCCAAAAATATTGCAACATAGCAGCAGCCATGAGGTGACCACACTCGCTGCCTCTTGCACCTCAAAAATAATAAGACCTCCCCAAAAATAAGGCCAAGAGCTTATTTTGAGTATCAAAAGAAAAGAAGACCCTGTCTTATTTTCGGGGAAACACGGTAGACTGTTGCACCATCCCCATTTTCAGGTGATCAAAATTCAGATGCTTGGCAACTGGTTCATATTTATGACGGTTGCAGTGTCCTGGGGTCATATGATCTCCTTTTCCGACCTGGCAAGCAAAGTCAATGGGGAAACCAGATTCACTTAACAGCCCTGTTACAAACTTAACAATTGCAATGATTCACTTAACAACAATGGCAAGAAAAGTCATAAAATGGGGCAAAACTCACTTAACTGATGTTTCACTTAGCAACATAAATTTTGGGATCAATTGTGGTCGTAAGTCGAGGGCCACCATGCTTGTGAATGTGCTAATAACATACAAGCAGTGATAGGTCTATATGAATCAAGCTATGTATTGTATTGACTGAAATGAATAAATATGAAAGCAAAAAGCAATGCATCATAGATTTTAATTTATAAAATTAAATGTATGCCCGATTTTTTTAAAAAAAATCAAGGCACATAATCTTGTTTGAATCTACAATAGTTAATGTGTGTGTGATAAATACATGTTTATTCTACTTTATGGGTTATCATGAAGAAAATTTATGTGGTCATTAGAAGCCTATAGCAGCTTGATGGTACGTAATGAATCGAAGGGTGATTACATTGAATGAAATCTGTTGGCTCTCACTGCTTTTATTAAAATGGTAAAAAAATCCTTGAAGCATACGTTCAGTGTCACAATGTAGAAAAGGAGTAGGACTTGTATTGCAATGTTGCTTGCATCACTCTGATTGCCCTTTGCCCAATACTGCTGGTTATATTCTGTTTTTCTGGGTTTTTTATGAGGTTTTATGAGGTTTTCTATGATGATTGCAGAGTAACAACTAATGTAAAATATTTGGATCAAGAAGTATCCAGCACATTGTAGGAAACATGATTTTTAATGAAGTGTTTATTTGAAGGAGCAGGCTTTGAAGCCAAATGATGAAGATTCCCCACAATTCTGAGCCATCGTCCGTCCCACGGTTTTAAGACAAGATTTAGGTGTAGCAATTTGTAAATTACTTGATTGGGTAGATGATTTATTTCCATAACAATGATAATCAGTGAATGTTTCTCTTTGGCTGAGAAAAAGTAACTATAATTGTAGGGCTTCTAGTAGCCTTTTTATCAGTTTCCTGTTAGAGTCACTGGCAAGAAATCCTTTTTCAAGTCAAATTGTTTTTTTGTCTAACAAACAAGTAATATAAATGTTTCAACATTGTGGCTAGCAAATCATTTTGATTTCTAAACATGCGTAACCACAAGCTATATTTTCCAGTAAGAATATCATAAAGTCAACAGCATACAGGTAATCCTCGACTTACAACAATTCATTAACGACCGTTCAAAATTATAAAAGCACTGAAAAAAGTGACTTGTGACTGGTTTTCACACTTACAACCATTGCAGCAATCCTGTGGTCATGTGATCAACATTCAGATGCTTGGCAACTGGCTCATATTGTAAGAAGGTCACAAAAAGGGATCACATGATTCTGGGACACAGTTGCGGTGTCCCAGAATCATGTCATCCCTTTTTGTGACCTTACAAGCAAAGTCAATGGCGAAGCCAGACTTGCTTAACAATGGTGTCGCTACTTTAACAATTACAGTGATTCACTTAACAACTGCAGCACAAAAGGTTGTAAAATGGAGCAAAATTCACTTAACAAATGTTTCACTTAGCAACAAAAAACTTTGGGCTCAGTTGTGGTCATAAGTCAAGGACTACCTATATAGGAAATTCAATCACAGCAGTAACTTGAGATTCTTTCTATTTTCCTTTTAAAGAAGTGTCTTTATGCTGCATCATGTGCAGGTCCTGATGCATCTCAGTAAGAAAGGCTGGGAAATTGTAAGAGAAAGGGGGTACAGCCCCTCAATTTCTGCTTCTGGAGATCAGTGCAGAAAGAAAATGATGGCGCAAATAGATACTCTTCTGCTCCATCAATTCTTTCCTTATACCTTCTGTTTTGCATTTTCCGGGCTTCTCGGAATGCTTTGAATCCCGTAAGAATTGAATTATGCAATTGAAGGAAATGCAGATAACTTAGGAACGCGGGCACTGTTAGCCAATTCTGTAAAATAACAACGTATTTCTGTTGAGCAGAATGTGGCGTTGTTGCCTGTTTCCTCCCCCTCCCCAAAATGTTAGATTAAAATCTGTGGAGGAATGAGCTGTTGTAATTTTTTTTGCTCCTCTGCATTCAGACAGCTGTGATTGGCTGCAAGTGAAGCTCCTGTTCCCCGCCCCAGCCAAGACTATCTCAGCTAGCTTTCATGGAATACAGGAATGCAGTACTCTATGTGGACTCTGTACTTAGCATGGAGACTTCCAAAAAGGTGAGAATAAAGTGGGAATTTTTTTTTATACAGCTCACGAGTTGTCATTGCATTCATGAAATGGGTTTTTTTTTAACACACTTTCATACTTCTCTGTTTTAGAGCAGTAGGTGCTCTAATCTTCATCCTTTGGCTTCAGAGCCTGCTCCTTTTTAAAGCAGTAACTGCAACTCTCTCAACAACCTTCTCTATGTATGATCTTCTTTCAAAATTTCATGAAACAAATAACAATGGTGGGAGATTCTTCAAAAATGTAGTATTTCAACTGCCCTTTGTTAGTGACCAGTAATTCAACTTCCTATAGTCAGCATGAAAGTTGCTCTTCCATCTTAATAGTATTACAGTTCTGGACTTGTCGTTGGTTTACTGACCTCTTTGCTTAAAAGTCAGTGCTTCTTTGGATTTTTGCTACTTAGGCCTGTTAGTCTCTACAGCTTAACCTTCAAAAAGATTTTTATATCATATGCAATTTGAAGCTTGAAATGAATGAGCTTTCAATTGTAGCTGTCAACTTTTTTCTTTTTCCTACAGCCAGTTCTTTACACTTATTTCAGAAGTTCCTGCTCCTGGAGAGTGCGAATCGGTAAGAATAATGGTTGAATTCTGTTTATAGGAATATTGCTAATATTTTAATATTGTTAAAATCTGGTAGAGATTTTTAGTTACTGCAATGCAGCTAATTGCTTAACTGTATTTAACAATTACTCAAGCGATTGAGCAAATTACAGAGTGGCAGCAAGCAAATTACTGTTTTAGGTGGATTTGAAGAAGTCTCTTCTTTACATTGGGACAGAAATTAAGAACCTAATTCATTACCTCTTAGATGTTTCGCTCTTCAACTTTCAACTTTAGTTCTGACCAGAATGGCTAATAGCAAAGGACTTTGGAAGCTATTGTCCAAAACAACTGGAAAAGTCTGTTAACAGTTAGGAATGGCATGCAATCCAAATGCAAAGTGTTGTGTATTCCACATTTTCTCAGCATGTGTAAGCAATGGAGAATGCAGTATCCCATATGCACACAATATGTAAATATGTTTAACTATGTGATAGGTTGATCAAGCAGAAAAAAGTTTTGTGATATTTACTCCTTTGTTTAATATATATGCAATCTCCATGCATCTAGTGAGGTTGAAGTAGAATTTTTCCAAAGGGTTTGTGGGTGGTTGATCCTTCTCTCTTTGGGTAATCCATTTTTTAAAAAGGAAATTAATTAAGATTACAGTTTTAGCATAAGTACATAACACAATGCAGATGCTACATTTTCCTCCTTATATCCTCACGTTAAAGGCATACTAGTAAATAGTAAGCTTAAAAGTTGTAACAACTAAAGCATAATAAACAAGAATAGTTTTAGCTAGCTAGTAGGGCTTAGATGACCAAAATGGACAAAAAAATTTAAAAGTATACATGGATGCATGGCACGACCACACAATATTAATAAAATATTAATATTACAGGATATATGAAAAAAGCAATGACATGTTTTTATTTAGTTAATTTTATTTTGGAATAAGTAATTTGGGTTTACATGGCAAAGGAATAAACCTAAACGTTTTATAGATTTGCTACTTTACAATGAAAGAGAATTAGCGAA